ATACATTTGGCAAAGATACATGACTGTATCTCTACTTCTCAGAAAACCCATTACAGACTATTGCAAGGTGACACCATGTATGCAATTACGAGGTTCTGGTTTGGCTTTTCATACGGCAAAATTCTGGTTTTGTTTCGGTTGTTCAGGTGATTCTACCTGTGAGATCAACAACAGTATATTGGCTTCAAACACATTCATTTTAGACGCACATATGCGCACACAGGGCAAAACTGCACCCAGTACTGGCCACTAGATTCTGAAGAGAACATTCTTCTTGGGTCTTCACCATCCAGACTCATCCTTCTGTACCACTTTTCACATTGAAGGCTGTCACTCCAAGCCTTTCACTTTGTTAACCAAAGTTTGTTGCAGTAGGAAACAAGTTTTCTAAACCATTTGTTTATGGACCAGGAAAGAGGACAAATCTTACTCAAAGGAAACTCTCCTGAGGGGGGAAAAAAATCTGCAGTGACAGAAGCAGATACAGAGCCTCAATAAAGACAGGTTTTTCTAACCAAGCCTACACAACAACTTCAACTATACAACGGTTATATTAACAAGGGGGGGGAAGAAGTATCTTTCCCTAGTCATTACCCACATTCTCAACAGGACTAGCTTTACATAAGAAAGAATATCAGTCCATTTACCAAGATGCATTGTCCCATTTCCCACTCTTGTTTTAGGTCAACTGGAAGCTTCTTTTTTCAGTTTTTCTAAAATCTCATCTGGTGTCACCGATACCAAAATCTTCACCACTTTTTCACGTGATTTACCGCCCTGATTTAGACACACAGACAAGAAAAAAAAAAACATCTTTCAGAGAACCACCACCATATACACATTCAAAAAATATTTCTCAGTTTTAAAAATAATTCCTAAACTGTGGGTATGCAGAATTAACAGCAGAAGAGACAGTTCATCAATGCCCTTTCTAGGTATTTGAAAGGAGGAAAACAATGTCTTATCTACTCTCTTTCTAAAACTGGATACAGCTCCCAGAGCATGCCCTGAATTGATGCTCTTTTTATAGGCTAGAATGAAAAGCAAGGAGTGGTAAGTTTTCATAATTCACTTGTATCATCTAGAAGCAAGACTCCAAGTAATTTGCATTTTTGTTTTTAAAAAGTAGGTGTGTACCTATAGGTTTATATTTGTTAACTGTGTACTTTCAGATCTTTCTTCAAAAGTTGTCTCCCACAGGGTATGTTAGTCTTAAACTGAGTTCTCAGATTGATCATATCAACCAAATTAAAAGAAATCACACTGTGTATAACCTATAAGATATTCAGATTCATACAGCATGAAATATTATTGACCTGTTTTTGTATTACTGAAAAAAAAGGCTATTTTACATAGGAACTGGCACATCTGCAACCTCATTTCACACTGCCCAAAGACACAACTTTGCTAGTATTCAGTAAACCATGAGAAACAAGTTGCTTGCTGATCTGCAGCATGGCAAAAAGTTTGAAATGCCCACAAGGGACATTCTGAAGGGGAAAAAAAAAAAAGTCCTTTACTATACAGAAAGATAGCATGAAATTTAAAATTTGAAGCAGTCTAGACAGCTGATGATGAAAATCAAGGCCCTTGCATAAAAATCCAGTAATCTCAGTTTTATACTGGATCATTTCCCATCAGTTTCCTGATTTGGATTGGTTTTGTTAATGTTATCACTTATAGAGCAAGTAGCACCTAAGAGAGCAACCAGTACCAGAAATCACTTGTTGTTTATAACTAGTAGATCAGGATGGAAAACTCTAACCCACAGGTAAAATACAGACTTCACCACAATACTGCACTGAGAACAAACAGCAGCTTGTGAAAAAAAAAAACCACACTAGCATGTAATTATTTGGACACCACAGGTTAAAACAACTGAGTCAAGGTCAGACAACACTTGCCCCTTTCATGTTCAACTCTGCTTAGCACTTCTGAGAACAATTTAGTTAAACCTGAACATCCCTTTAAGATAGGAAAACAATGTTACCTGTAAAATGTTGATAAACAAATGAGATAGTTTGCTCATGATTCAGGAAAAACAGTGCACAATTCATTGATCACATCACCATTTACCACTGTCCTTTAACAGGCTTCGACTGCTACGTGAAACCAACAGGCAAAAATTAAAAAAAAAGCACAATTTTGCATTGTGCTCTTATATTCATAAACTATAAATGAACATGGCTGGAAAGACTGACTTTAAGTAGAATGAATTAATAAAACAAATTATTTATTCAGTGCAATAAATAAAACAAAGAGTTTCCACTCGCCAAAGTCAAGACATGTAAATTCTAATACAAAGAAACTCTTGAGGTCCAGCTATAATCCGAGTGCTTATATATGCTCTTGCTTATGTGTGACAGCTGTCAGTTATGAAAAGTTATTAATAAAATGC